CTTTTCTAGACAAACACATGTCACTCATTTAGCCCCATTTTTTATGGTTACCACTTTAGAAAGAAATTTATTAAAATATAGTATAAATTCTTATGCCTTCTTTTAACATTTATACTCTGCCTTGAAAAGTAAACCATAATTCATAGCTTTAGTTTTTTTAATTTTAAAGAGCCCAAAGACTACTCTGACTTTTAAAAAATTTTTCATAAATCCTTTGTATAGTTTTCTTTCTCCTCATTGCTATCAGACTGCCAGGGTCATTTCTCACTGTCAACCTTTTCCCTGCCTTCTCGCTTCCATTTTGCTAATTACTCAGAAGTTACTAGACTTCAAGTTCAACTGGTTACAGCAGTATCTAAAGTGTGAGATCATACCTCTGAGCAAGGGCTGTGTGGCTTGCCTGTGAGCTAAGAACAGAATCTGCACTGTATTTTTCTGTCTCGGCCAATCAGATCATAATTCATACTCAAATTTTCAATAAATTTGTTTGCTTACTAAGGAAAGAGCCAAGGCAAAGCTTCTGATGCAGATATTGGTAACACAGCTGGGGGTGGGGGGGTGACAGCAGGGGAGTGAAGGAAGAGAGCTCAGAAAGGGAAAGTGTCCAGAAGACACAGGCTGTGAGTGGAGTTGGGCAGGATGAACAGATGCTACACTGGTAAGAGAGGAAAACACAGGATGGACGATAGGACACCAGCAAGGCAGACCATGACTGAAGAACATTATCCATGCCGTCCAATGGATGGCAAGGAAAGAGAAGAGAGGCATGAGATGCAGCCAGACAGAAAAGCTGAGGCCAAACTTCTGTGCAGCCTCTGTGCCAGGAGAAGGAGCCTAGATCTCATTCCAGGGAACAGAAGGTTTTCAAAGCACAGAAATGAGTATCAATTCTATGCTTTATTAAATCGTTCTAGGGTCTACATTAATGGAGCGATTCCAATAAAGAAAGTATTGAAAGAGGCATAGCAAAAGATGGTAAAGAGGCTAATTCAGGGTAGTTCTGACTGATAATAGAAAAAAATGGGGGAGAGAAGGAGCTGGGAAAAGAAAAAGGCATTGGGGAGAAAAATGATGAAGAAAAGTACTTTCTGGAATTGAAAGTAAAGGGATGCATCCATCCTGGTACCCTAGGGCATAATACACATAGCATATTCAAAAACTGCTTGTTAAATACAACTGAAACCCCATAATAGGATTTCTATCAGCCCCAGTGCCTCAGCACTGCACAGGACAACTAATGCTCAAATGCTCTCTATTCCTGACAGCAGCTGACCTAAGTTATGCTAAACAACAAAGTGTAAAAGCTATTACGGATAATTTTCTTCATTTACTTTTAACAGCAGGTAAAATCAGCCACCATTACAGAAAATAATATCAAGAAAGGAGAGGGTATAAAATTGCTAATCACAAAACAAAACTAAATAAAAAAAACTCATAAAGTTAAATTGATGTAACTTTGTTTCTTTTGCCCAGCCCCAGATGTGCTATTTGAAAATGGGACTGAGAAACACCCTGAATATAACAGCAAACTAAGAAATGAAAAGGCAGGGTCTTTTTAACTCTTAAATGACCACTGAGTAGAAATTATAGCAAAGCAGCGCCTTAATGATGGCATCCTTTGTATTGCTATAAAACTGCTTACTGTAAAAACAATTCCTCCCTCTGCTTCCTAGGGAAGCAAGGAGACAAGAAAAGCAGATTGAAGGAAGACATTAAACTGAATGAGCAGTACAAGCAAACTTCTTATTCTTCTCCCAAATTAAAAAACAAAATCAAATAAACTGGAATAGCACCTCTTTTCTTGCTGTATGATATTAAAATGTTCTGCCAGACTTTCCAGGTCCCGAGCAATCTGAACCACGCAGCACACATAAACCCCTCATCCACACCTCTTGTCCAGGCTGCTCAGACCCCTCCCTTGTGTCCCCCTTCACCTCCCCCCCCAAACACAGCTGCTCCTCTCCCCACACCTGAGCTTTCTTCTGACATCCATGTCCCCAGTGTGGACATCCTCTTCCGGGAACCTACTCACTTCTTCCCACACTCCAATGACTTGCTCAGGAGCAACGGTCTCTACCCTGATCCTTGAGGTCTTTCTTTTTCTCTGGGAATACACACCTGAGTATCACAGGTTTTATTTGCTTTCTCACCTCATTTGCTAGGTTTGATCTCCAACTAAATTAAGCCCTTCTCAGGAACATATGTCTTACACTTCTCATTCATCTGCAACAGTGCTCAGCTGTACATCCCTTTATTCAATATAGGCAGTAAACACCTACTATGTTACAGACAATTTTAGATATTACAAAATACAGCAGTGAAAAACCAATCTCTGTCTTTCTTCCTGGAGCTTACTACATTCCACAAGTGTGAAAATGAAAGACCACAAAAGAGTACATACAGTGAACAGGCAAAATGCAGAACTTGCTGGACAAGAAATGCTAGGAAAGGTAGAAAAAGGGATGGATGGTGACCAATAGGCAGAGGATGCTAGAGAAGGCCTACCTAGAGACACTGTTGAGTAAAACCTGCAGGAATGGAGTGCATGAGCAGGTACGTGTAGAAGGAGCTGTCAAGGCAGAGGGAAAGAAGAGCAAAAGTTCATAAATGAGAGCACATCTGGGCTGTCCATGGATGGGTGGAAGGACCAGTGTGACCAGAGTGAGAACAACAGGAGACCAGGCCAGAGACAACATGGATCCAGCTGGCATTGGGCCTGTTAGCCATCCTAAGGAGTGTGACTTCTCTGAGAGGAAGGCCCTCAGGTGTGCAGCAGAGCACCGTGACTGCTGTGGTGGAAATCTTTTCCAAGGTGTGGGGGGGGGGCAGTTAGGGCAAAGCAGAGAGATGAACTGAGAGAACCTGCAATAACTCAAGTGACAGGTGGCAGTGGCTTAGGCCAAGAGGTTGTGGTAGAAGTAGTGACAGAGGATCAGATTCTGGACTGTTTTGAACATAGCAATGATAGGATTTGCTGATAGAATGACTTTGGGTGAAAAAAAGCACAGAGGAACCCATAGTGCCCCAAAGGATTCTGGGCTGTGCAACTCAGAGCACAGAACTGCGTAAGGCAAGATGAAAGACTGCAGGAAAAACAGATGCAAGGTGGCAGAAAGGGGCAGAATCTGTTGACAGACAGGAAAAGGGCACCATACACACCAATTACTTATTCTAGAACAGTTGGCGTTAGTTTCCACTTCATCTTAAATCAATGATCTATCCCCTAGGACTGGTGCTCATCGTACAGCTTCTGGTTATACTGTGTGGACTTAAGACATGCACAACAGCACAATTACCTCTTCTTTGCAGGACATAGGTTCCCTATGTACAACGGCACTGCATTTTCATAGAACCTGTGTCCATCTTCTCATAAACTTTTCTTTTCCTTTTGCAGTGCTGGGGATCAAACCCAAGACTTCCTGCCTACTATTCCCATATACTTTAACTCATGTCTAGATTAATTAAATACCCAATAAGATGTGAATGCTATGTAAATATACAGTTACACTGTATTACTTAGGGAATAATGACAAGAAAAAGTCTGTCCATGCTTGATAACAGATAGGATTTTTGACTAGCAGAAAACAAAACATGATGTTAGACCCCAAGTGTGCTCTGTGCACACACACACAAACACACACACACACACACATACACACACACAAAGCTTGATTCAGGGGGGCAGGAAAATCATGCTTCCGGGAAATTTACTTGGATTGAAGAAAGCTTCCATGAGCAAGCCTTGGCAGGACAATGGCCACATGTCCTATTGAATGGCTGAGCCAGGGACAGCTACAGTCAAGGAAAGTGTTTCGAACCACGCTTCCCTTGAAAATACTAAATGGTCATGACTTACACACGAGGCACAGTGCGAGCCATGCTTCGAGGTCTGCTTTTGCTCTGTGAAGTGAGTGATGGAAAAATACCTTGAATGGCATGTCTGTTCTTAAAAACACATCAGAGGTGGATGCAGTAGCTCACATGTATAATCCCAGCTACTCAGGAGATGGAGATTGGGAGGATGGCGGTTGAAGGCCATTCAGGACAAAAAGTTAGCAAGATCCTCATCTCAACTAATAAAGTGTGCACCTGTAATCCCAGCTGCATAGGAAGTATAAATAGGAGTATCCCAGTCGAGAATAGCCCAAACAGAAATAAAAGACACTGTCCCCCCCACAAAAAAAAAACTAAAGCAAAAAGGGCTGGGTGTGTGCCTGTCTATAAAACATGAGGCCATTAGTTCAAACCCAAAACCAAAAAAAAAAGCATCAGTATGTTTTTATTGTCAACAGTGTAAAATCAAAATAGAGATAGGTATATGTAAGCCCCAAAATGCACTACAAACTTTCTTTCAAATTTACTACGTGGCAGATTGCCATTTGCTAGTAGGTAGTTCCTATTTTGATTTTAAGCCAAAATACATAGATTCAATAAGTTCCTTTTAAATTAAATGCTGTTGTCTACTTTCAGATGAAAGGCACTTTACTGTCTCATATTAACAGAAGTTTTAAGAAAATCTTACTTTATAGATATTTAAAATATTTTCTATATTTTCTATTGCACCTTTAATAACTCTTCTACTTGTAATTATGTATTAAGCAACTTGTTTTCATATAAGAAATACACATTTTTATTTCATAGAAAAATTATATTGGTAGTTACAGTATATTTTCTTGGGTTCCTTTTTTATTAGCATACATTAATTGGACAAAGGGGTTTCACTGTGATATTTCCATATATGCATATAATGTAACAGTATGCTTTTAAGATAATCATGTTTTTGCAGCTAATTTGTTTTGAAAATAATGACTCTGAAGTATTCCACAATTTTATTTTCTTAATTTAACAATTTAGATATTTGTTGAACTTGATGAAAAGTTTCTTAGATGAAAAGTTTTAAATACTAGATCCTGAATTGTACAAGGAAATTTCCTACTTGATTTGGTTTCCTTCTCCTAAAACATGTGTTTTTTATGGTGTATTAAAAGAACCAGTCTAACCTGTTTTTGATTGTGGGTTTCTTCTTGGTTCTTCAGGGGCCTCAATTGGCTGATCGGCCAGGAAAACTCGAGCTTGGTCTACTGCATTCAGGACAGAATATTCTTTCTCCTTTAGTTCACGTCTCAGTGCCTTTGCAAAAAGAAGAAAAAGATGAATTTGTAACCTCATGTGTTCAGCAAAAATGGAACGCCTTCAGTTAGACCACTTCTGACACACCTGTCCAAGGAATCATTAACAGCCAGCATTTAAGTGAAGTTAGAAGTAAAAATGTTAGTTTTACAGATAGGAATGGTGAAAAATATGAATAAAAGAAAAAAAAAAGATGATCCCTGCAGAATTTAAATATGCAAAAGAAAGGAAAGAAGAAGGAAGGAAGGAGGGAGGGCAGGAAGGAAGAAGCTTTAAGATATTCACCTAAGGGAAATTGTTACAGTGTATTAAACTTACACAAAACATGCTTTTAAGGTTTACACTAATGTCAGATTGCTAAAATATAATGGCTGTTCTAAAATTTTTTTTCTTATAAGACTGACCAAAAATTGCATCCAATGATACAGAAGAAGGTAATTTCACAAATAGTAATGAGATCCTCAGTGTTTTACATTCTTTAGAATACATTAAGAAAAACATTAAGAGACAGAAACAAATGAAAGTACGTGAAATCAAAACTAAACCAAAGTGAACACATAAAAGACGATCTCCAATTATCTTAAAATACGCTCCGTCTTCCATGCTGAGCCAATTACCATTTCTCCCTTGTGAGGTTTTTCATACAAATCTGTGGTTCTTACAATAGCTTGTCTTTAGCACATTTGTTCTTTTAAATAGGGCCAAACTTTCACCCCGTTCCTATGCAATGACTTGTGATTAAGACTGAGGATAGGTAAGACACCTAAAAAACTAGCTAGCATTTGTTGCCCTTAATGCAGAGAAACTAAAGCAGATACCTTAAAGCAACTGAGGCCAATAGGAAAAGGGGAACAGGTACTAGAGAAAAGGTTAGATCAAAAAGAATTAACCTAGAAGGTAACACCCACGCACAGGAAATCAATGTGAGTCAATGCTCTGTATAGCTATCCTTATCTCAACCAGCAAAACCCCTTGTTCCTTCCTATTATTGCTTATACTCTCTCTACAACAAAATTAGAAATAAGGGCAAAATAGTTTCTGCTGGGTATTGAGTGGGGGAGCAGGAGGGGGTGGAGTGGTGGTAAGGGAGGGTGGGGCAGGGGGGAGAAATGAACCAAGCCTTGTATGCACATATGAATAATAAAAGAAAAATGAAAAAAAAAAAAAGACTAATTGACTAGGGTTTCACAACACCGAAACTCCTTTAGGGACTGACTACCACAAGACACAAATAAATGATTTCCCATGTGCTAAAGCAAAATTGTTAATATTGTCATCCTTTCAGAATTGCACATACACATGGATATATACACACTGTGTGTGTGTGTGTGTGTGTGTGTGTAGCCATACCTTCTGATTCTAATATTTTGCTTTTACTGCAATTCTCTGGCAATACACGATGAATACTCAGGGGTTTGTTTATTTATTTAAGTAAAATACTGCTTTTGGGTATTTTGGAATCAATAAAAAGTAGTTATGTTCAGAAGGAAAGATTTTAATAGTGCTTGACATAACTATGTTAAGATGGCAGGTTATTTATAGGCTAAACCTCATCTTCCACAGTCAATAAAAAGTAAAAACTAAAAAAGTCTAGAAATACCAAAATGATCATCTTATGCAACAGTAGGGAGCTAAACATCAAAAAAGAAAAACCACTAGTACTGAAGTTGAGATGTGCTTTCACACATGGGGAAGGACTAGAAGAGCTGGCAAGTAGAGATGAAATGACAAAATGCTATTTTTTGTGGTAAATAGTATATTATTTGACTTTTAAGCTATGTATAATTATCACCTTGAAAAAAAATAAAAACAATTCATAATGCAGTAATAATATCTAGGGATACAGGATGAAATACAACTGTCTCTAAAATCCACAGACGCATTTATATGTCCTTCCTAGCATCTATAAACCAAAAGTTGATGACAAAGTAAGCACAAGTTAACAAACTCCTCAAGTCAGTTATCAACAATGATCATTAGGTGGCATTGTTGGGGGAGAAAAGAGACAAAGCTTTCACGAACTCCTATTTGAGAAATGCAGCTTGGAGGCTGGGTGCAATGGTGCATGTCTGTAATCCCAGCTACTCAGGAGGCAGAGACCTGGAAGATCTATTCTGAGGCCATCCTGAGCAAAAAGTTAGAGAACATCTCAAACAATAAGTGAGGCATAGTCACATAAGTGCCTGTCAGACCAGCTACATGGGAGACATAGGTAGGTGAATCAGTCCAAAGCTGGCTCCAGACAAAAACTCAAGACCCAACTTGAAAAAGAACCAAAGTAAAAAGGGCTGGGAGTGTGGCTCAAGTGGTAGAGCACTTGCCTAGCAAGTGCAAGGCCCTGAGTTCAAACCCCCCCCAAAAAAGGAAGGAAGGAAGGGAGGGAGGAAAGGAGGGAAGAAAGAGGAGGAAAGAAGGGAAGGAGGTAGAAATGGAGTTTTGGAAAAAGTTCCAGCATATAACACTCCAGAAAACAAAAGAATACTTCTTGACATTTAAAGTTTCTGATATATGGTAATAAAAGAGACACAAAAGAAATGGAAAAACTGCATGTGGGGAGGGGATTATGAGAAGCCTATGAGAACCTGACACAAGCACAGCTGTGTCAAATAATCAGCAGGCTGAGTTTGGCATGGCCCCAGCCGCCAAAAAGGACAAAATGCAGCACAACTGCTTTCCTAAGTTGTTTAAGTTCAGAGAAGTAGGATCGCGGCTTTCTCTTGTTACAATGTCACACCCCTCCCTGACAACTGTTGCTCCACCTCCTTGTTTACCACTGTATATAAAAGACTCCCTGAAGGAGGATGTGAGGATTGATGAGGGGAAACTGATTGAAGGATTGATGGGGAATTTGGTATGAAATGGACTGATTGGCTGGCTGCAGGTGCTTGTGAGGATGCTGCTGCCAATGCCGGCTGTTGTGCGTCTGGCTGTTGTGTGTCTGCGCATCTAAGGGCCAAGACTTTAAGAGAAAACATGGGACAGTGCAAGTCTGAGGGCCAAGACTTTAAAGAGGAATTAAAGAAAACATGGGACAGTGAGAGTCTAAGGAAAGTGATGTTAAAGAATAGAAAAGAAGCAAGGTTTTAATGAATAGTAAAGAAGTAAGGCCTTAAAAAATAGAGAAGAGAACCCTCTTACACTGTTGGTGAGAATGTAGACTAGTACAACCACTCTGGAAAAAAATTTGGAGGCTACTTAAAAAGCTGGACATCGATCTACCATTTGATCCAGCAATACCACTCTTGGGGATATACCCAAAAGACTGTTACTCCAGAGGCACCTGCACATCCATGTTTATTGCGGCACTATTCACAATAGCCAAGTTATGGAAACAGCCAAGATGCCCCAGCACTGACGAATGGATAAGAAATTGGTATCCATACACAATGGAATTTTATGCAGCCATGAAGAAGAACGAATGTTATCATTCGCTGGTAAATGGATGGTATTGGAGAACATCATTCTGAGTGAGGTTAGCCTGGCTCAAAAAACCAAAAATCGTATGTTCTCCCTCATATGTGGACATTAGATCAAGGCAAACACAACAAGGGGATTGGACTATGAGCACATGATAAAAGCAGAGCACACAAGGGAGGGGTGAGGATAGGTAAGACACCTAAAAAACTAGCTAGCATTTGTTGCCCTTAATGCAGAGAACTAAAGCAGATACCTTAAAGCAACTGAGGCAATAGGAAAAGGGGACCAGGAAGTAGAGAAAAGGTTAGATCAAAAGAATTAACCTAGAAGGTAACACCCACACACAGGAAATCAATGTGAGTCAATGCCCTGTATAGCTATCCTTATCTCAACCAGCAAAACCCCTTGTTCCTTCCTATTATTGCTTATACTCTCTCTACAACAAAATTAGAAATAAGGGCAAAATAGTTTCTGCTGGGTATTGAGGGGGGGGAGCGCGAGGGGGTGGAGTGGGTGGTAAGGGAGGGGGTGGGGGCAGGGGGGAGAAATGAACCAAGCCTTGTATGCACATATAAACAATAAAAGAAAAATGAAAAAAAAAAAAGAGAAGAAAAAAAGCAAAGTAGAAGAAGAGAATAACACAGAAAAGAAGTAACAAGGCTGTTGTGCATCTCCTCCTGAGCGCCCAGCACACCTGACCCCAGCTTTATGCATGTTTGCCTTCTATCCTTTGTCCTTTCTGCATCTCCAGTAGCCCCCAGTTAGGTCAGGAGAACAGAGTTCAAAAAAGCTCGCAAGAACTGCATTTTTAATCTGGAAATGTATATGCATGTCTACAGTTCTTGAGCCAATTCTTTCCACTGAGATTATTTTGTTAGAGCAAGAAGCTCTAGAGGAACAGAAAAACTCCTAATATTTACTTACAAAACTACCTAGAAATAGAAAATTGTGATAGACAAATTATGCTACTTAAAAAAAAAAACAGCATTGAAAAATAGTCGGGTATTCCAGCAAAATTATAAAAAAATTTTTGCCGAAGGTGCATATCTCCCAAACTCAATCTGATCAGTAAATGTGGGCACAGTAAGGTTCTGCTAGAATTCTTGTCTGGAAGGGAATACCAAGAATGCACCCCCTTTTAAATGAAGGTGCTGCAGAGAAGACACCAGAAGACCACTGCTCACTCTGGCTTTCCACAGGGGAAGAAACCACACACAGCATTTTGGGGGACTTAGCACAACAGAGAAACCAGAAAACACTACACAGGTAATGATACGGAAAAAAAAGTAAAACTGTAGAAAGCTGAAACATAAAAAAATGCTTAAATGGCATATGTTTACAGGATGAATTTATGGTAGAGAAAGGCGACAAGTAGATCCCATGCAAGTTCAGTGCACAGTATTCCTGACCTGGGAATTCTGGACCAAAATAGTCCAAAACTGTGCCTGGAAAGGGGTGTGGGAGGGAAAAAGGCAGAGTAAGATTTGTCTTAGAACTATTTTTAGAATAGAATCCAAGTGGAAATATGAGTTCATCTGCAGAAAGGATACTAGGTTGGAAAACTAACCAATCAATTCCCCTTC